TTAGCAGAGAGAAGGGGGAGGCACGAGCAAACCACACACCAAATCTAAACAGACGAGAATGGCGGGGGAGTGATGGTCCTGTGGATGCCGTATAAAGGAAACGTTAAGGATCGATCCCAAACATCACCACACACACTCTTGCTCGCCCACCTTAAATAGTCTTGGGGTCCTTCTCTCCCTACGTTCTTTTCGTGTATATGGAAATGGCGGGAGAAAGAAGAAGGAGAAGAGAAGAGAGATGGGGAAGGAAGCACACGAAAGATCAAAGCGACGGGGGAACATGGGAAGGGAGGATAATTGGAACACACACACAAAGGGATAGAGAGAGAGAGAAAGGAAAGAAACGGACGAGAGAGCGACGAAACGAGCCAGACAAACCACAGCAGACAGAAAAGAGAGGAACAAAGGAGAGACAGACAGAACAAAAACAGAGGAAAGGAGAGCGAAGGAAAAGACAAAGCAGAGCCGCAGAGGTGAGAAAAGCACAGGAAGAAGCAGAGAAAGGGACCAACGCACAAGAATAAGGGGTCACGTATAGAATAAGACAGAGCGAGAAGCACAGAATCCCAAAGAAGAGAAACATGAGAGAGAAGAGAGGAGACGCCGGCGTTCATAGTCAAATTAACCAGCCCTGGAAAAAATACTGAAAACGAGTACCATAAAAAGACAGTCACCTCAACTATAAAACACTCAACTAGTCATCGCGGAGAAGAGGCCAAACAATTAAATAATGCGAGCAGCGCTACAGCAAAGATATGCGCCTAGGAAAGCGCGTGGTTCCACTCAGAGAACACGCGCTCGACGAGCTAGAGGCTATTTCCACGACGCCGAGGACAAACACAGATATAAGGACAACAAATGGAGCTCTGCCGCGCGAGTCATTTCTTCTTCTATATCGGGCGAAAATGAAGAAGTACACGTTTTCTACTGGCGTGCACCTACGAGAGTTTGCCCGCTGAGTTTTCGCACCACGATGGCAAAAGAGGTGAGACGGAGAGTTGCGTCTCTTTCGCACACGGAGTTACTAACGTTGAACTGAGATGAAGAGAGAAAGCGAATTGAAATGGGCAGGAGCAGTACGGACGTGTCACAACACAACAACACAACGCACTACATAGCATCTATGGCAGGCACATGCACTGGTTGTCTGTCTGGTCGATCGATCTTCAGTGTCCATAGTACATCGATACACAGCACATTAACAACACTATTCAGCGGACACACACACTGAGCACCCAACACACACACACCCACTATCATAAACACACAATCACACATAACTCTAATTTTATTAGGACAATCTATAAAACAATTTGTGCATCCAATAACTCATAATAGGGAGTTATTCTAAACGGCTTAGTGAAATCCTGTATCCTTATAAAGCAAAAGGTCATAAGGGAAATAATAATATATAGTTTAGAATTATAGCAGAATTAAAATTAATTTAGTTGTAATAAATATGTTATAGTGTGTAATAAGTTGACATACTATCTCGCGCATAACCCTTAACCAAACTTACAACAAAGGAGCTATTTATGGTTATCCGGTATATAGGCGAATTTCACATAGTGAAGTTACTTATCTGTTACACAATCTAATGCTATCTATTACTGAATTTCTATCTAGTCTAACTCTGAGTATCTAATACTAACTATATAATATATTAAATCTTCTTTCCATTTTACGGTTACTCAGCAAATTGACTAGGACGTTAAGATTTCAAATTCATAAAGTACACACATGCTCACGATGAAACTATCATGAATGGCCTAACAAACTCTCACTTATCTATCTGATCTCATTAACATACTATACTCCAGTACAATCTACTCACCTGATAAACCAATATACATCGTAAATCAAATCGTATATATATATAAAGCTACCGTATTAAACGATTTTTTCGAGACACACGAATGGAAAAGCTAATAGAGAGAATTTGTTCCTATTTAAGCCCTTGTTTCAGCTCGCCGCTTAAGCTGCTGCATACCCTGGTTCGTTCACGCAAGGCGGAGAAATGTAGCGCGTCGCTGTGTTGGTGGCCGCTGGTCAAATATGGCTTGTTAAGCTTCCCTCGATGCTGTTTACCTTCAGACGTGTCCGTTTGTTTGTTGCAACAGCCATTCACCCTCTTGCCGCCTCGTCTATTGATTTGTGTTCTTTGTTTAGTGTAGGTCGGGTATGTTTTTTTTTTCGTCGAGTTGCGTAAGATGCAGGGTACTTTTTTGCAGCTTTCGGGTATCACTTTATGAAGCCTTTTTTCATCCTCGGCCGTATGTACATGTCCATACATGTCTGTATATAGGTAAATATACAGACGCGTTCCTTTACCGTTTTAAGTAACAAAACTTCGTGGCAAACTCGTCAGGTGGCAAGATAGAAGTGTTCTATATATTTCTCCCTGCTGCAGAAATTGCGAAATTCTTTAACCTTTCCTTTCTTACTGCATATAAAAACTTTCGAGATAGTTTAAGTCAGCTGACTGACGGACCAGAATTTCTCGCGGTGCATCTTTTTTTTTCGTCGAACTTTTTCGCTGTTTTAGCCATTATATTGGCTTTCTCTCCGGGCTGTGAAATGGCAGAGCGGAGTGGCACGATAAGATTACGACAGAACACACGTTTCGGTCGCAAAGGAAGCCACCAATTATCACAAAAAATATCGTGATGTCATCGCACAAATGCAAACGAACACGCCAAGATGACTGACACGGAAAATTATTTTTTTTCACAAATGTACATATTCCAAGAATAAGTCTATTTTCCTTTTGGGCTTTTGTCTGACAAGTCTCTAGGTTTGCCAACAGGATCCTGTGTCCAAGCCAACCCCTCTATGCCCCTCTTTCTTTCTTTATTTTCTACGCTAGGTGAAAAAAAAAAATCTTGTCATGTGTCACGGTCAGTTTCTGTTGAAGAACAAAATTTTACTGACATTGTTTGCATCTGATGGGCTGCGCTTATTTTCCCATGTCATTGAAGCTACATATGATAGTTGAGTCCCTCTTTATTTAATAGTTTTTTTTTACCTTTCGCCAAGATAAAACAAAGTCTTGGCGAAACTGTGTGCGAGGATGACTCCACCCCCCCGTGCCACAATCGAAAGCGATTCTTGAGTCGGTCAAGTCTCACCTTCACCAGGATACACCAAGAGGGCAACGTACCCGCATCTGCCTCCTCCTCCCCCAGAAATGTTTCTCCAACACCCTTATGGCTGTTGTGAAATCGCACCTTATTTCCATATGCAAACACGCTTGTTCTCAAGATTCTAGTACCTCGTTACCCTGAAAAAAATTAATCTGTTCTCCAAAAATGTCCCGCGATAATTACCCCAATCTGTGCGTTTCGTGCACGTGCCTTTGTCTCCCATTCGCGTAGGGTAGCGGAAGTGACGTAGCCTGCTTGCTCTCCTCCTCTCTCGGTTGAGGGGAAACGGGGGTAGGGAGGGAAGGGGGAGGGAGTTCCTCGTGTCAGCCCGCCAGCCGACCTGGTGAACATCTGTCAGTCCTATGACACCAGAAACCTCATTTACATAATATCTGCACGTAAGACAGTCGCATCGGTGGGACAGCAAATTATATATATAAAAGCAAGAGAAATGTTTCTTAATGGAAACTGGCGCGGAGGAAAGGAAAAATGAGTACAAGGGGTATAGCTAGGTATTATATTTCCAGGCCCAAGTTTTAGGAAGGTTTATGTATTTGGCTGCACGAGAGTACTTGTTCGACAGCTCCCTGGGCATACAATACATTTGACTTGAGTCCCTAGGTAAACGTACATGAATGTCTGATATATAGATAGATAGATAGATAGATAGAGAGAGAGAGAGAGAGAGAGACAGACAGACAGACAGACAGACAGACAGAGAGAAGCAGAGAGAGAAACAGACACAGATATATAAAGGCAAACGTACACGCACATGTATATATGTATATGTATATATATATATATAATATATACATACATACATACACATACACACACACACACACACACACACACACACACACACACACACACACACACACACACACACATATATATATATATATATATATATATATATATACATATATATATATATATATATATTATATATATATATATATATATATATATATATATATATATATATATATATATACCATACATGAGAGAGATATACAGACAGAAAGAGATACACGAGAGAGAGAGAGAGAGAGAGAGAGAGAGAGAGAGAGAGAGAGAGAGAGAGAGAGAGAGAGAGAGAGAGAGAGAGAGAGAGAGAGAGAGAGAGAGAGAGAGAGAGAGAGAGATTAGATTTTTTCAGGCTGACGGGGTTATGAAAATGTTTTACCTTTATATGAATTAGCACTCTGTAATAAGCTCTACCTTTGATATGATTACCACAGATGTTATCACAAAACATGATAATTGTGTCAACAATGTTTTTATGTGTATTTATTCAAGCATATTTTTTTCCATTGCCCGCTTATTGAGTCATTAAACACTACATTAAATATTATTGTTCCTGTTTATAATAAAGATAATAATTTTTAATATAGTTGAAATTCATGATGAAACATGCAAATATACAAATAAGTAAACTGATCAATAGATGTACTGTACAGCGGGGGACATTTCAAGACGGCAAGCCCTAGGAAAAGGTAAGAGTAGAGAGCAGAGAAACGAGAGCGCCTTGCCGAGAGAGGAAAGAGGGAGGAGCATTGCGAGGGTGGAGCTATTGATGCGTGACACGTCTTGCAATTTTTTTCTTATCCTTATAAGACTTAAAATGATGATCAAGTTTCACTCTTACGTTGATTAAGATGATGGAAATCGGTTTTGATACAGCCCGGGAAAGAAAATAATGCCGTTGGTTTTCCCCAACTATCGTTATACGATAATGATTGTCATGAGTAGATGTCGCAGACCGGTTATTCTTGTAGCAGCCCGGTTTGAGTTGGTGTTCAACTTTCTGTCGGGCTTACCTTTGCCTAGGAACTCTGACTATGGTGTAATTATCATGGTGTCGCCTATGACTCATTCTGGTCGCTAGGTTTGAATTGGTGGAAAATATTGTGAGGTGGCGAGTCTGGCAACACCCGGATCGTTGAGTCATCAGTTAGGGAGTTTCTATGCGGCTACGCGGCTCGCCAGTTGAGCATTGGACTTCAACGAGGTAGGACGTGGTCTTTCCCTCAGTGAAATTAGTGCAGTGTAAAATCGTATTAAACTTGTCATTTGTAAATCTAATGATACGTATTCTAAATTTTCAAACGTAAGGAGATTTGTCCCAACGGCAGTTTGCGAGTGTGCGGTTTTGCAACCCATCAGCTATTGCTGATGTCTCTTCCTTCTTGGTATCATGAACATATAGGAAACAGTGGCCTCTTTTCAGGTTATGGTTTGTATGTAGCTTGAGCATAAGACTAGTGCTAGATGAATGGTACCGCCACCGGGGCTTGGCGCGCGCGAGCGAGCGAAGCCGGCGTGGCGGCCGTACGTTGACGAGAGGGTGTGGCAGGGGGGAGGGGGGCTGCTTGTATGCGGCTTTGCTCATTTGATGGAAGTACTGAAGTCGTTATGTAGTAGACGTAGTAAACGTGAGCTTTAATGGTAAAGCACTTTTCAGTCAACGCGCTCTTGGGCGAAAATGGTTGTTTTCCATGATCACAGATGTCAGTCCAGACAACGCTTGGTCGGCTAGTCGGCCTGTTGGCGCTCCACGCGGCGACGTGTTTGCGGCTTGTGTTTTTACGTCGGGGCGGTGTGGGGTTTACATTCTTAATGTCGTTTGCCTAGCCTCTGAGTATTTTGTGAACTTGTGGACTTACGGATGTCCTACCAGGAGTGGAGAATCCAATGAGGAGTAGGGCCTGGTCAAAGTACGCTGAGACCCGGAAGGTGTCAATGCAGGTTGTGACGTTAGTAACCGCGAGTAGTGAAGTGACTAGCGAAGGTAGAAGCGGAAACGGTAAGAAAATCCATACCTATACAACGTCAGGGGACAGCTTGTGCAGAAAAAAACCCTCCAGCTCACTCGTATGGGTTCCATAAGCAGTTCTTGAGTGAATGTCTGAGCTCGGGCTGGCAGTCTGGCTGGACAGCTAGCAGACACCACAACCATTATGTTAAAGCATGGCGCGTTACCCAGTCTCGCTCAATATGTTTAGTAGTTGGATCAAAGGGTAATGAAATTGAACATCTTTTCAGAAGAAAGATAGTGGGTACCATGTTCGTAGTTTGTATCTTTAGACACGTATACTTTTACCGAGGTAAGACGAGTGTTGCTACCGCGTGCAGGTTGCAGAACCGCGCAAAGCCAGGGAGGATGCTGTGGGAAAATGTTTATCGGAAAGCGTGTTGTACGTTGAACTTGCCTGATTCGCTCTATTACTTCAAATATGTATGAGTATTTAAAGCAACTGTTCCAGGCTGTCAAATAGGTAATTCATAGAAGTACGTATAATGGTTTCAAAAGTAGCACTTTAGGTTATGCCGCAAGGGAAATTGGAGAAAATAATTGGTGCTACAAGTAAGTGACAAGCAGTCTTCCATTCCTCTTACTGTTCAAAGGTATTTTAATTTTATACGACCAAAATTGCGAAACACCCATCGTTAAACCACCGCAACAATGATAGCTTTTGTTAGTCCCTTAGTCTACTAGTCTATCCACGCCCTCTTTGGGTGGCTTGAGCGGGGTGCGCGAGATAGGCTGGGAAAATATTTACCTCGCCTGTTGAATGCGACGAAGTGACTAGTTTTGAGATTCTTCTTCATTTTGATGCTTTTAGAGATTTTCATTTTGTATGCGATAAATCCAATATTGATTTTCTCTTTATTTAAAAGTTCAAGTGGTTCCATTTTCACAATACGCGGCACAACTGAAAGTATATATCCAAGTAACATCTATATTCTTATGAAGAGGCGAGAATTGGGGTAAATTAATGGCGATGTCACCGAGATTAATCGGGTTCTTTATTTGCCAATGTTGGCACTGACAAGCAAAATGAGTCTTAATGTGAATGTCAAGGGCAACGCGCGGAGTCAACAGTCTGTGCTTTCGGGCGACCGAGAACTTGGTTAGTCTACGGGGCACGCTCGTACACTTTCAAATCGGCGCAGGTAATACTGCGCATTTGTCAAAACGGTAAAGTTAATATTATCTCCCAGTTTGAGCAGGAAGTACAGTGTGCACTCCATTCCACGCAAGTCTGTTAACTCCATCTGTCACTTTTGGTACATTGACATCACTTCAGGAACCTTCTGTCAGTTGGGTATTGCCGCCTCAGTGAACTGTAGGCTGCCAGAGAGAACGGTTTTTCGAAATTTGATAAATTAATAGTGTGTCCTGGAACCGGACTTACGGTACTTCAAAAGCCTTATTTATGAATAATTGTTTCGTCAGAAACCCGTTTTTATCGGTGTTAGTAACTCTCCACGCAATATGTAGTTTTTGTTACACCATTGTCTCACTAGCATGCCCCAACGCCTCCCAACGCCCACTCTCCCAGGTATCTTTACACCCGCTCCTCCACCCCCAATAGCCCCAGCCGGCGCCCGTTCTCGAGATTGGGGGGATGACTCACAGACCAGGTGTTGTGCTCCCCTTCTCTCCCTCCTCTCCCCCTCACTCTTCTCCCTTCGATCTCCCTCCCTTTCCTGCTCTCCCTTCTCCCATCCTGGGTTCCCCTCCCCCCTCACCCTCACCCTTTCCCGTTATGTGGAACAGCTGATGGTTGTCTCGGCTCACGCAGCCGGCATCCTTTGCAGCCGAGAGCTGAACAAGCTACACTGCGTGCGAACAGTTGGCTTGTGTTTTTCAGGATAATTTCATGGTCCTGAGGTCAGGAAAATAGAAGGCATCTTGTTTGTTCGTGTATACTATGTGCACGCAGGATCAGTGTGTTCCTAGAAGTCGGGAGTTGACTGTTTGATAATGCATGATAGCCACAGGGTGCATGTCCGCAGGCGAGTTAGTTATTTACCTGACCGTGAAACTCTTTTTCTTGGTCTAGACTCTCAGCTGTGCGACCCACAATCCGCGATACACGAACGCCACTTCCCGGTTTATTTGTAAATGGGCTCTATAGTTGATTAATATGGCCCGTTATATTGCACATGAAATAGTGAAGCAATAAGGACGTTTAACACTATTCGGTAATCCTCCTGCCCGAATACAAGCTATTTTTAAAAATTCGCCCATAATTTTCATCTCTTCGAATTCACCTATTCCTCATGAACGTGACAAAGCTGTTGAATGTAGCGATAAGTCTAGTTCACGGCGGCTTCTCACGATCCCTGCGATAAGGGTCTTGCTCGCTGGCTTGGTAACAAACATCTCACCCCATTTTTTAATCTGCATTATCTCCGTAGTCATGTAGGTGGGGGGGTGGGGGTGTTTTATGCGATAATCTTTTGACGCCACGGGGGGGGGGGGAGAAAAGGGCATAGGGTTGAGTGTTGGACTGAGTAAACAATGGGGTGCCAGATGTTCCGGTTGGCAAGCCAGTGCCTAAGCAGATGATTGGGGCACTTTTTTGATTTTGTGACTGGGTGTGGCCACGAATGGAAGGGGAGGGTGTATGAGGGTAGAGCGGAACAAGCCGAAAAAGACGGTGGCGTCAGACACGCTACAGCAACCGTGGTTCTTGTAAATAGCGCCGTTAGTTAAGGTTTTACATTGAACTGAACTGAGAGATTTTACATTGAACTGATTTTTTTCGCTTGTCATCACCTTTTTCCCCCCTTCGCAGATATTACGCTAGCTCCCTCTTTTCCCCTTGCCTTTCTGCGGTTTGTTCCACTGTTCAAGAGACCATCTCCCTTCCCCCCAGTCTTCCGCTATGTCGTTAGTCACACCAATCGCCAACCATTTGAAATTATAGCCATGTATACAAATGAGGGGGGTCAAAGATCACTGGAGCTGACACACACACACACACACACACACACCACACCACACACACCACACCACACCACACCACACCACACACACCACACATGTACACATTTATACATGTATGAATACATACACATACACAATGTACACATGCACACATGTGCACACACATTTACAAACACATGTACACACACACATTTACAAACACATGCACATACACACACATTTACAAAACATGCACACACACACATTTACAAACACATGCACACACACATTTACACATGCACACACACACACATTTATGCACACACACACACATTTACAAACACATGCACACACACATTTACAAACACATGCACACACACACATTTACACACAACACACACACATTTACAAACACATGCACACACACACACATTACAAAACACATGCACACACAACACACATTTACAAACACATGCACACACACACATTTACAAACACATGCACACACACACATTTACAAACACATGCACACACACACATTTACAAACACATGCACACACACACATTTACAAACACATGCACACACACACATTTACAAACACATGCACACACACACACATTTACAAACACATGCACACACACACACACACACACACACACACACACACACACACACACACACACACACACACACACACACATTTACAAACACATGCACACACACACATTTACAAACACATGCACACACAACACATTTACAAACACATGTACACACACACACACATTTACAACACATGATGCACACACACACACACATTTACAAACACATGCACACACACACACACACACATTTACAAACACATGCACACACACACACATACACATTTACAAACACATGCACACACGCACACATACACATTTACAAACACATGTACACACACACACATTTACAAACATGTACACACATACATACACACATGTACACATACATACATACACACATGTACACACATACATACCATACACACATGTACACACATACATACATACACACATGTACACACATACATACATACACACATGTACACACACATACATACACACATGTACACATACATACATACACAACATGTACATACATACACACATGTACATACATACACACATGTGCACACACACGTACATACACACACATGTACACACATACACATGTACATACATACACACATGTACATACATACATACACACATACACATGTACACACATACATACACACATACATACATACACACATGTACACATACATACACACATGTACACACACATACATACATACACACATGTACACATACATACATACATACACACATGTACACATACATACATACATACACACATGTACACATACATACATACACACATGTACACATACATACATACACACATGTACACATACATATACACACATGTACACATACATACATACACACATGTACACACATACACATGCACATACGTACGTTCGCCCAGCAGGAGTAATCGGAGGCTTTTGCAATGCCTTTAATCCTCTAGTTCTCCTCGAGGTCTAAATTAGTAATTGGTTTAGATCTCGGTCGTGTTATCGGACGGAATTCCTGCCCTCCAGACGCCTTGGGTTTCGGGAACGGTCTTGGCTGCGTCTGTGGTCGGCTCCGTAGCGATGGTCTGAGGGCAGAGGATGTTTGTTCAATGTAGAGGATGTAGCCGTACGATACGTAGGTTTCCCTTTCCTTCACGTCTCCACTTGTCCCGAAACTCTGCTCTTCTATTTTCTCTCCTCCTCTTCGCTTCGCAACTCGGCGTTTTCTTTCCGTCCCTTTCTCTCTCGGCTTGCTCCCTCTCCTCCGTGGATTGCGGAACCGCGGTCGGCCCGGCCTGTTTGTTTATACGTTTGCTCTTTCATTTTTTAAGGTCTGCCCTTTTCGGTTTGTTTACATAATGCTATTTTACACCGACGGGGCATCGTTTTCGCTTCAATACTCAATTGTTCTATTTTTATGAGACCGAAAGAAGAATATTAGAGAGAGTGAGCGAGAACCAGAATGTAGGTTGCTGATGGCTGCGAGCGTTGGCGAAGGGTGAGGACGGCTGCAAACAAAGGGGCCAAACCCTGGAGTGCCCTGATGGCTGCTGCTGCTCCGGTTGCTGCCATCTGTAATCCGCCTTTCTACTCCCCTCCCCCAGTTTTCCCTGCCCCCTGCTAACGGAAGTAGACCTGAATTCAGAAGGGGAAACCGTGTCGGCAGTTAGGCACAATCTATCGTCATTTGGTATTTTATAGCGTGGGTGCACTTTAAAGTAGAGCTCGCGGCTGTGCGGCTGTCCCGCGTGTGTATCGATAACGGGTGCGCGCGCGAATTTACCCCCCTACAACACACCTCGTGTTTTCGACGTTTTGCCAGTATCGGAAAATCATAACGTCTGTATATTGCTGGAGTCGTCGCCAAGCTCTGAGTTCGATACAAAGCCCCCAATTTCTGGCGCGTCGAGTGTTTGCAAACCGTCTTTACACGCCCTCTTCCTGCAGGGTTTCATCAGTTATGTCATATCGCCATTTTTATTCACATCACGTTTTTGTTTTTCTTTCTTTGAAATAACTATCCCGTTAGACTTTTTTTTTTACCATTTCCCCGGAAAAAAAGTGTAGGAGCAGACAGTGATACAATTTAACGAGAGGTGTACACATGAAGAGTACCGGTGCCTCGTGTTCGGAACGGCGTGTGGGATGCTGGAGAGAGTAATGTGTGGGACTGGCAAGTTAGATGTCTTTTCTTTACTCCAATGTTTTCCATCGGCAGTCAGTGATCTCACCGGTCTTGATGATAAAAATTCGGGTCGATGGCTGGTACTTTATGGTATATTTGTGATTTATTCTGCAGAAGCACTTGTTCATATATATATATATATATATATATATATATATATATATATATATATATATATATATATAATATATGCTAGATACTATAGCTTTACCCCTCTCCCTACCCACTACCCCGACTACCTTTCCTTTACCCCTCTCCCTACCACTACCTTTCCTTTACCCTCTCCCTACCCACTACTACTTTCCTTTACCCCTCTTACCTTCCTTTCTCCCTACCCACTACCTTTCCTTTACTACCTTTCCTTTACCCCTCTCCCTACCCACTACCTTTCCGCGCTCTCCCTACCCACTACCTTTCCTTACCCCTCTCCCCACTACCTTTACTACCCCCCTCTCCCTACCCACTACCTTTCCTTTACCCTCCCTACCCACTACCTTTCCTTTACCCCTCTCCCTACCCACCCTTTCTTACCCCCTACCCACTACCTTTCCTTTACCCCTCTCCCTACCCACTACCCTTTACCCCTCTCCCTACCTACCTTCCTTTACCCCTCTCCCTACCCACTACCTTTCCTTACTACTTTACCCTCTCCCTACCCACTACCTTTCCTTTACCCCTCTCCCTACCCCACTACCTTCCTTACCCTCCCCTACCCACTACTTTACCCTCTCCCTACCACTACTTTACCTCTCCCTCCTTTTTACCCCTCTCCCTACCCACTACCTTTCCTTTACCCCTCTCCCTACCCCTACTTTAGTACTTTCCTTTACCTCTACCCTTTACCCCACTACCTTTCCTTTACCCCTCTCCCTACCCACTACCTTTCCTTTACCCCTCTCCCTACCCACTACCTTTCCTTTACCCCTCTCCCTACCCACTACCTTTCCTTTACCCTCCCCTACCCACTACCTTTCCTTTAGTTTACCCCTCTCCCTACCCACTTTCCTTTACCCCTCTCCCTACCCACTACCTTTCCTTTACCCCTCTCCCTACCCACTACCTTTCCTTTACCCCTCTCCCTTTTCACACCTTCGCCTCTTTCTCCCCACCAATACCTTCGTATTTTGTCACTGTAACGCTAACATTTTTCTTTCTTTCTCTCGTCTCCCAGAAGTTAGCCTTCGAACCAGAATCACCACCACCTACCACCACCATCATGAGCGCCGAAACTCCCCTCAAGGACCTTCCCAAGGTTGACCCCACCCTCAAGGGACAGCTCGAGGGATTCTCCGCCGTAAACCTTAAGAAGACCGAGACGGAGGAAAAGGTTCGCCTGCCAAACAAGGAGGGTGAGTTGGGGACTTTTCATTTTTAGAGGAAGAAAAGGAGGACGGCGGGAATATAGGACCGGAAAAAGTGTGTAAGAAAAATTGCTTGTTAGAAAGAGGCAAGAGGTGTGAGGAAGGTGAGACGGGCACGAGGACAAGAGTTGTGTGTTGTGTGCTTCGTCCGGCGGAAGGAGTGTGTAGCTGATCAAGCGGAAATCGCTAACTTGGCTGTCTGGAGCCAGGTTTCCCTCCCCTCGTAATAATTAGCCCCGTCTTTGTTTTCAGAGTATATATTTAGGCAAAACAATCCAAATACCATTGTAGGACTAGCAGGACCCCAGCCACAGTGAATGTAAAAAGCCTATGTCACGGCTGGCCGCAAGCTAAGGTGAATGTTTGATTTGTTTTGAAATCTGATTGAGAGGAGTTTTGAGTTTTTGAATTGAGCGGTTTCCCTCCCATGGTTTGTATTTTTACGCCTAAATACCTAGTGGAATAGTTGCCTTGTGGTTGGTAGGGGAAAGAGCGGAGATGTATTCCCGCGTTGTGAGAGAAGCCTCCTGCCATCCGTGCAGTTTCCACGCCGTAGGTGTGTCTCGGCTCCTGTAACAGTATCGAGTATCTTTGCAACACGTCGTGTACAGTCGACGGGTTGTCCTAGTAAGTTTATTATCGCTTGTCAAAGTACAGAGAATGGCAGCTTGTGCAGGTGCACCTCCACAGTGCTAACCGTTTTATTTGCTTTGGATAACGGTAATAGTCATTGACAATAGAATGCTTCAGCTACGTATCAGGTGCTAGCAAGGCGCTATCAAAACAGTTGTAGTCATCCCAAAGTCCTGAATTAGTAGATGAGGTTTAGCAGCTCTTGCATCATTCTACAGCTTATCTCTTGTTAGGATACAAGACTTCCTTATTTTAGAAGCTGCCATATTTACGCTACCTTTTTCATAATCTACAGTATATGTAGGAGATATACTTGAACACGGCAGCTTGTAGCAGTTACTATATATATATATATATATATATATATATATATATATATATATATATATATATATATATATATATATAAAATGTGTGTGTGAAATGCATGTATATGAAGTACCGGCATTCTGCAGCGATTAGACTTAGTATTGACAAAGGCAGCAAGGGAAAACGGGCAGTCCCTGTTATTACCCCCCTCCCTCCCCTCAGCCCCTCGCCCCCGTGATTTTCTTTTGCGAAAGCTGAAGCAGAGGCTAGTGTTGTGTATGGAATGGATGTTTGGGAAGGTTTGCGTTTTGTTTGTTTGTTTTTTGCACTTAAGCGTGTTGTGCACCTGAGTGTTGCATGTTGACTCTTGCATGAGTTTTTCTTTTTTATACATATGCATGGTGAGGCCAAAATGTATTTGATAAATTATGTAACCCTTAGTTTTAAGTACAGTTAGATATTAGGTATAATTAGAAGTAAATAGTAATTGGCGTGTTGTCAAGAACGTTATTACTTAAATGCAAAACAAATTAGTTTGAATAATGTAGATTAGGAACTACTATAAATGAAGGAAATAGACTTTAATTGTAGACTTTCCAAAATTAAGAATTTATAGAAGCATGATCTCTATAGTTACGATTTTTGGCCTTGCATTGTTGGCATAGTGCTGTTGCTTTCTTTTTGTCTGGTCCTCATACAAAACCTGGAAGTTTGTGCCAAGGATGGAATGCAGGCAATCTTTTGTGTTCACCTAGCTTAAGTTTTGCTCAAGGTTTTCCCCGGTCTACATCCTTGAGCACAGACCTTACTTTTAGTTTCTAGAGTTCATGTGTGCATGATTGCTTCTGTTGCATGACGAGACAGACGTGGCACAAGAGAAGCAACACATAGAACATCTACAGAACATCAGCGAGTTTCGCAGCGAGAGACTCAAACGAACGTCCACCTCTGAGAAGTTGGTCCTCCCCAGTAGTCAAGGTAGGATGAGACTCGTCTTCCCTCTCTCGCATAAGAGGTACAACTCGCTGCCTCACACTTTTTAATAATATGATTACCTTCTTGATTCGTTCCATTCACGAAACTCGCCTATGGTTGTGACGCTGCACTAGTTCACTCTACGTGGGTCTTGCGTACGCGTAGACTGCAATACTTTTCCATTCACTCTTTATGCCACACTTTGATTGCGCACAGTCGTAAACGCTTCTTTCGGAAACTTCTCTTCCCGGCATCGCTCCTGGTTATTATCTGTGTCTGTACGCCAAATAAGTTATTTAAATCAGAGGAGGGTAAAACTAAGATTTGATTTCAAACCCTGGAATTGTTGGATTTTGGTAGGTACTCGAGTTCCATTAGCTGAAGTTATTTCGGATTACTAGCTTTCCGTAAGGTTTCCCTCGATTTTTAGTATAAATATTTATTTTGTTGATATAATGAATGGTGTTTTAGGATATTGGTCGATAGTGAACTCTCCGGCCAACTAGATGGCACGCTGCCAAGCCGAGTTGAGCGATGAAGACTAAAGGAGGTGGCCTTGACTTTGACCTTTGCGGTTCGTTGACGTATGTATTGTTGGGCTTCGCTGAAGCTTGGCATATGGCAGGAGCTGCATGGTTATTGCTACCTATAAATTTAAATTGTTTAGGTTCAAGGGAAATGAACTTGGAATGTCCTTTGTTTTATCACGGAATGGTCCATGAAGATGTGGCGGAAATTATCCTGGGAGACCTTGACATTTATGGATGTTTGATTTGCTTTGTGGGAGAAAGAATTTTGTAGTTTTGTGGAGAGTTCGTGGAATTTGTAGCTTTCTTGGTCCCGCCCTTCGCACGGGCATTCCATGCCATTTGAATTCCTTTTGTTGGGAAGTTGTCCCAGTGGTATTGGTAAGGGCGCGGTTAATTACCTGACGATGTAGCGGTAAGTATAAACAGGTGCTTTGATTAGACTTGCAGTTCCTTCTGGGATATGCATATGTAGCCTTGCTTAACGGTATGTATCTGTACCTTTCTTTCCATGCTTGAGCTATAGGGGTTCTGTTTTTCTCTTGTAGTTACAGCTATGGCAATAACATTTCTCTTGCCCTAACGAATCTGTAAGTGAGAAATGTATGAGGTGCTTTGGGTCCTGCTTCAGCACCGTGTAAAGGGAGTGCTTGTGATTGATAAGTGTTAAGCGATTTATTTATATATATTATAATGAATGGCGTGGGTTCTTGCAAATCCCTTAGCTGGCTTCAGAGGATGGCTGATCTATGCAAGGTAATAAAGAAGTGCAATCTACTGTTGCCATTCCATGATATACTGCCCATACCCTTGATTAACATATCATTAATAATGAGTACTGTAATGATGAACTATTTTTTATAGATTATATTTCAGTATTGGAAGTAAATTTGCAAGATTTTTTTTATAAGTTCCAGGATATTGTTCATACTTATCAGTACTTATTATGTAATATTTATCAAAGGCCTATTGCCACAATGAGCTTGGTCCACTAAACAAAATTATTATAATTTAGATAAATATTAAAAAGATGGTTGCCTAATTTTAAAGATAAATATTTATGAATTATTATAAACTTCTAATTAAACATAATTATTGATTTTTATTTATAAGATTTATAGGATAAACCTAAACAAGGCCATAATAATGATATACAGTATTACACTTACAATAGAAAATATTTTTGCAACACTATTTCCCACTCTTTAACAGTGGTTTTGTTTTTATTCTTGTATTTTCTTATATATTATAGATTGTGTTGCTCAATATTAGAATGTTTTCACTTTCTCTCCATTTCATTCCTAAGATTATATTTTTAAAATTTCATCATCAAGAAAGTTTTCATGTCACCAGCACCCATACTGTCAAAATGCAAAATTTATTGTTTCATAAATTTCACTTTTCTTAATCGTTCACACTCCCATTCATACCCTTTATCCGTTTCCAATTTGTGGACCAAACTCCTATGCCTCATTTCATGCATGCTCTTTTGTGCTATTGTGCCCTACTAGGATCTCATGTTTATACATTGGTGCATGGCCATGCATGGTATTTCAGACGTGGAAGCAGAGAAGGCAGCACAGGCCCATCTGCAGGCCGTCGAAGGCTTCAATACTGCACAACTCAAGCATGCCAATACCCAAGAAAAAATTGTTTTACCTGCTAAGGAAGGTGTGTCTTTGTACATCTGGGTGATCCTTTTTTTGTTTTTTGTTTTTGTATTTGATGAATTTATTTGTTATAGCATTATTGCACTTTACATTTTCTATTTCTCTCACCTTTCCATTTATTGTTTTGAAGTTCTGTCATTTATTGATCGTGTAAGGTTTAATTATGTTGAGAATGCACCATTGTTGTGTAGATTCTTTTATTCTATTTTGTTTGAATTAGTTCTCTTTGTAATTTGAAGTTGAATAGAAAATTTGCTGGAGGAAGAGGCAAAAGTAAGTGTACAACTTTCCTTATGTTCTTTTCTTATTATTTCGTATTTCAGCCAACATTTCTCTCCTCTCTGTAGCATTCTTGTATATGAAGAATGCAGATAGTTGTAGTACAACCTGCATTTTCCTTAACTTTTTGCAGACAAAAGTAGAGTAACTAATGATTTTTGCTGGGTCATTTCACCTGCAGATATTGAAACGGAACGAACACATCAGAGTTTATTCCAGGGTGTAACAGGCTTTGATAAGACCTCTATGCGGCATGCGGAAACGCAAGAAAAAGTTACCCTACCAGCCAAAGAAGGTAGAATGAAGGACAATACCTTGTTTGCTGCATTGTAACCTTTAAAAGCATTAACCCTTTAAACTGGGGGAGCACTCTGAGGTGAATACTTGATAAGAGAAAAGATACTCACCTCTAAAACTAATCTCTCTAAAAAGTATATATAACTGAATTACTGTTACCAAATGGTAAAACTGATGACACTAACGGTTATCGATGTGCAGTCTCAGAACTGATGCTAAAATTATCAGTAATACAATGGTTTCCTCTCATTCTTGTAATTGAAAGGGTTAATACTTCAGAGTTGCAAATGTTAGAAAGATTCTGTTTAGCCTGAAACAGAAGTACTACTACAGCAGTTACGTTGGAATGCTAGTAATTGCAGCTAACATATTGACCTCTGAAGTGCTTATGACCTGAAGAAAGCATCTAGTTACTCCCAGTGATGCTACAAATACAGATAAATTACCCTAACACTTGCAGAAAGTTTGGTCTCCTTTTTCTTTTTCTCTAAAGCTATCTTTACTGATAGTTCATTAGGTATGTTTTTATTTATTTTGCCCTTTTGTTTGTCTTCTAACCTCTCCATGTTGATCATTTTCCAGCTGGCATTGTACTAGTTATTTTTTTTTTTTTTTTTTTTTTTTTTTTTTTTTAATTAATTGCTCCTAACTTGTCAATTTTGGGGAAATAAAGGATATTATAAAGGAACACTATATACACAACATACATGCTGCAGTAAAACAACCAAAGCACAATAGTTTGCTGACCTAGTACAGTTTGTAGTGTGCTTATTTGGAAAAAAAAAATCCAGTCGGATATTAGATGTATCCTCAGGATTTCTGATGAAATAATGGAAAACTCATGAAAGATTGCACTCTTTATCACATTACTATGTGACTTTACAGGATCAGGTGCTTGATACTTTTGTTACCTGAAACCTGGTCTGAATATTCTATTGATTTACTTTTAATGCTCATTTTACATTTATTTACTGTTCCTGATTACTTTTGGGGCGACAGATATCGAGACTGAGAAGACACATCAGAGCATTTTCCAAGGTGTAACAGGATTTGACAAGTCCCAAATGCGACATGCCGAGACCGAAGAAAAGGTTGCCCTACCTGCCAAAGAAGGTATCATGCATGGATAGTGCATCCATGAAGGGTCAAAATGGGAATTATTGGGTGTAGAGCTTAGACTAGCACTACTATTAATTGCAAGCTTGCCATTTAGTTTTTTATAAATTTTTCATCCCTTTTGTATTTGAATACAAAAGAATCAGCAGATTGGCTCAGCATAGTTTATTTCTTGTCACATAAAGTAACGTAGCTTTCTTTTACTATAACAGTACTAGCAAATGGAAAATTTGTAACAAAGATCTATATTCTGAGCATTTTCTGCATTCAAGAGAGTAGAATATCAGAACTTAAGAGAAGAAATATAGTGAACAGGGTATTATGGAAGATCCTTGTTTTAGTTCCAGGAAAGAAATATTTAGCAATATAAAACATGAGGAAACTAAATAGGTATTTCCCTCGTGTCATTTTGCTCTTTTGTCATGAGATCATAGATTTGATACTGGTATTAGGGCTCTCTTGAAAAAAAAATATATATATATATGAAAAATTAATATTCTATAAGTCTAGTGTATATACATACATGTCTAACATTACATAAAACACACATGTACATATATATACACAAGAAAGTTCAAAATGTTGGGCATTTAACTGCATGTCACCTATCCTGTATGTCCTTAAAATGATGATGGTCTCTGTAATATGCTGGTATGGCATTTGTCTTGTATCACAGACATTTTTTCACGTAATGGTAATCAACTTCATAAGATACTAACATTTCATAATTACAGAACGTGTTTTCATTGGCTATTAGGGACTTTTAAAAAATATTTAGTTTATTTGATATGTAATTTATGAAACCTTCATTTACATTTCAAAAGGGAAAATAAGAATTATATTTGTTGATGACCACATTGAATATTATACATATGTATACAGATATGTATATGGATGAAATACATGTTTGTATATATTTTATAAATATATATATATGTGTGTATACACATGTATAAATATTAAGATCATATTCCATACTTTAGCTAATTTTTCTTTTTGGAAATAATTGCACATTCTTCTAAAAATACTTAGATTTAGATGTATGGGCATTATTTGCATGCCATTAACAGGGACAAAAGATCATAAAAACCATAAAAATCTCTGTATAAGAAAGAAACAGAAGAAAATGTTAAACCTTTTGAGTTTCTCATTGTTTTCTATCATTTATGAAAGGTGTGTTGAAAGACCTCTGTGTGATAGGTAAATTTCTGGTTTCTTTAATAGGTAATTGGGGAATAAGTTTTAGAATTGTTAATGTACTGCTACTTTCAATTTCATTCTGTATTCTTTACATTACATTTTTTCTGAACTTTCCTCTTAGATATCGAACAGGAGAAAACCCATCAAAATATTTTCCAAGGTGTTGCAACTTTTGATAAGTCAACCATGCGACAGACTTCCACAACTGAAAGGGTATCTCTCCCTACACCTGAAGGTGATGATGTAGCCTTCATTATTTGATTTGGAGAGTGGGTCTGATGCAGTTAATATATGATAGGTTTTTGTGTGACTTACTTTCAGTTTGAGTAGGGAATGAAACAAATTTTTATCAGTTTAACATTAGACCTCATTTTTAAGGCATAGTCTTGTATACAACCAATGACAAGCCTAGAGGAACTGTCAAATTTATTTTTTGCTCTCTAATTATAATGGTCTCAGTAGTACAGAGACTTAATTAGTAGGAAGCTTTGCCTTGGGTTTTCTAGTTTTACATTGCCTTAAAAAATTCATGGTTTTACATTAATTTCGAGGCTTTTACTGTTATTGTGGTAGTTATATATAACTAACTTTGTAGAAATTGCCAAGTGATTACTAAACCCTGTATTTTTTAAGAAGATTCACATAGCATATGAAATTGTTCAGTTAAAATGTTTAAAAAGAAAGTATGAGCTAGAATTTAATAGTTGTTCTAGATTATATTATATAAAGTTGTGAGAGTAACGTAGTAAATGGTAGGAGTGTTTAATGCAAATGTAGTGTTTAGAACATTACTCAACAGATATTAAGCTGGAGCGTACCCACCAGGGCATATTTCAGCGATTGGTGTCCTTCGACAAAAGTGAAATGAAGCCAACAGAGACAGTTGAAAGAAATGTTTTGCCCTCCCAAGCAGGTTGAGGTGCATGGTCTTTAATGAAGAGGATTAACATGTTAACTCCTGTTCTCTCTCTCCTGTGTTTTTGTTTCTTCTCTCCTAACAGATTAATATTTACCATTGTTTACTTGCTGTCTTGTGTACACTGACTTTATTTGGGGTAATATTGGGTTTAGGATTTAAAGTTTTTTTTACTAATATAAACTACAAAGTTTAAGATTAAGAAATCATTTCGGATAATCATTGTGTGTCTGTGTGCGTGTGATCATAAGTTAATGTTTCATATACAAATACATCATTTATCCAAAGTTAGGGAACAAATTGCATGGCACATAATCATGCAACTACAGTTACAATGTGCAATGTATATCATTTAACATATACTTGTCATTGAATAACCTTGCTTCTTTTACAATATGATTGTGCTTTTGTCAAAGTTTGTCCTGACAAGCATATTCTTGGATGGTGTTGATCATGTATTGTTAAATAAGAACAGATGTCAAGATGTGGTGCTGTCTGTATTTTTATGCACTACTGTGTTCTTGTCACCAATACACATGTTTGCCTGAAATGCCTTTATGAAGCTTTATAAATGAAATGCAACTCTTAATTTTGTGGGTACTGATTGAAATGAGTTTTCCAGATATTGAGACTGAGAAGGAACATCAGGCACTCCGCCAGGGTATTGAGGGCTTTGACCATTCTGCTTTGAAGAAGGCTGAGACGACAGAGAAGAATACCCTTCCAACTAAGGAAAGTAAGTATTAGTGTTAGTTCTTCTAACTTATTATTTATTAAGATACTTATCATATAGGTAAGAGAAGCAGAGTGTAAGTGTCTGCTGTCACATCTCCAAAGTATCATCCACACAAGGGCAGTTCCCCCTTTAGAAACTACCCATTCTGATAATTCTTAAAACTCAGCTTGCACCTGATATCAGAAGCACTTAGTGTGGGAAAGACAATATATATATATATATATATATTATATATATATATATATATATATATATATATATATATATATATATATATATATATATATATATATATATATATTATATATTATATATATATATATATATATATTATATATTATATATTATATAATTATATATATATATGTAAGTATATTATATATATATATATATTTTTTTAGAGTATTTAACTCTGCTTTAATTCTTGCATATCTTTTACAGTGATTGAGGAAGAGAAGAAGGCCTAACAAGGTTTGCCAGGAACACATCTATGTTCACTGTGCATCCCAGTGATATCCTCCCTGCTCTCCCTAGAACTTCTGATAGTTCTGCAAGCCAAAATGTTTTGTACTGTACTTTGATAATCTAAGTGTATAGGTAAACCAACTGATTTTGTAACCGGATATCATATGCTATTCTTTGAGTCATTATTATTTGCTTTAGTGATAAGATCAAGGTGCTCACCAATAGCAAGGCGATGGCAAGAAGTGCAAAAGGGACATTTAGAAACTGCATGATAATTTTCATTGCTTTTGTGCACCCTCCTAGTAATTTATCAGCAATGCTAGTGGACCAAAATTTCACCTTGCTTCCGCCTTGTTCAATAGAAGGTAAAGGTCTCCCATGCAGGTAATGGAAAACTGCCAAAAGGTACAATGAATTTGTAATTTGCCAGGATTGTAATGTGTGAGTCTCAATTTTTACCCCATTTAATTTGCATTTAATTGTTAGCATTTACATGAATTTTTAAGTGTTTATAAAGAATTTATCTTTGCCTTGTTTCAAAATTAATTTGCTTTTTGGGGCATCCAAGTAAATGTGATTTTGGGAGCCAATAAAGTGCTTTTGTATTCCTTTGTTTATTTCTACCGTCGTTTTTTCCAGTTTTATTTTCATGGTTTTATGCCTTTTTAGTCTTGGGTTTAGACATTTGAAATGTTTTAATTTTGAAATTTGATTATTTTGACATCTTCAATTGGCTTTTACAATTTCAAACCTCACGTTCCAACCTCTTAATGTGCTGTTAATAGTCATTAGTGATGAAATGAATGGCATACAGAATAAAACTTACCAAAAATTAACTCTGATCTTTTAGACCAAATCACCCAGCCTTCAGTTGTTCAAAACACCTGCAGTAAAGATTTTTTTAATTCATATATGAAAGGAAAAAAAATGACAATGAAAATTACAGGCTGAAGATCTTTTGCGCTAATCACACAATCAATATTCTACTTTTTATAAGGAATCACAAAAAACAAAACATGAATGTTAGTATTTTCATAATCAGATAACATTAGGGAATAGACAAGATTTTTAGAAATGGAATCAAATACCCCATAAAAATATAAGTGCATGAATTTTTTCAAGAATAAGAAATTCTAAAACTGCAAAGACAAATTATATACATATACGTCTATAACAGTATCTCATGGTATATTTATATCGCTCACTATATGTATGTGTACTCACTAAAACTTTATTATCACCTTTTGAAACCTGACAAACTAAATATTCTCTTTCCTTAACCCATGATAAAGATTTGATAAAATCCATTTATGCGTTTTATATGACCAATTTTTTATTCATTTTAAATTGAGTGATACATGAAATTCACTAAATTCAGTTGTAATTAACAAAGCCATAGAGATTATCATTATTCTGCAGGCTGTAAGTTACTATTAGATTTTCATTTTGATCATGATGATCCCCCCCAATTCCATGCCCGTTATTATTATGGGGGTTGACATAGCAAGCAATAACTGGCCCTATATTGGATCGCTACTACTTTGGGCCTCAGCCCTCAGCTCAATCAATTATCCATGATCTTTTCTTCCCTGTTCACTCTCCTTCTCTTCAGTCCTATCTATTCACTTCTTAAGGTGTAGGAGCCATGCTTAAAAATGAAAAGCTGGCTTTGTGTCAGTCCTAACTGACCTCGGGGAGCCCTTCCCTCCAAGGGCCCTAAGTGGTACACCATTTCTCTTCCCCATATATTTCAGTTGCACTATGGCCAATATTGAGAACTTTGTAACCTTATTAGGGTCATTGGGGATTGCCCCTTCATCAGCTAACCTATCTGAAATTAACATCTCTGATTTCCTGACCCGTATCTCCTTTGTTCACGGCTTTAAACTACTACAACTACTACCCCCTCCTCTCCAAATCATCCATCCAGGTCATTACTCAACCTTCAGAATATGTTCTCTCCCAATATCCTTGTCTTCTTTATTTTTTATCCCCCTCCTTTAATACCCTTCATTTCTCACCTCCACACCACACTATCTTCCTTGTCCTCGTCTTTTTACTACTTTTACTTCTACAAGTCTTTTGAGTACTCGTTTTAGACCAGCTAAATGGGATCGATTTTTGTGATTCTTCCTTCGGCCCTGTACTTCCATAGCTGTTCGGATCATGTCAGTTACATTGAGTCCCAAGCTCGTGCATTATCTACCCTGACTGACCCCACTGGCAAACCTATCCTACCCAGCCTTAATAGTTGTACCGGAACCGTTTCCATCTTCCGGATGATTGGTCAGACTGAAAACAACCTGTTACCCGCCTCGGTGACTATAATCAGTACAGTGCAACACTACTCCTCCCAGTGGTCGCCATAATTCTAATTCTGCCAAGGTTGCCTTTCATAGATATGACCTTCCTGGTGAAGTTTACACTGGCGGAAAGTCCTACTCTGACCATATTGACCCCTCTCCCATCAATGTCAAAAATGTTACCGTTTTGGTCAAGTACTTGCTCCACGGTACGCTGCCCTCTCATGTACCCAACCTGGTCATGACCATTGAAACTACTCTGCATAAATAGGCAGGTGTGCCAGTTGTGGTGGCTTCCCTAATATATTTTTATAAGAGCTGCCCTACCTACAAGTTTGACTCTCAGGTTGCAGCTCTCAGATTCAAAATTGCGAGTCCAGAAGTCTTTTGCTCCTCACCCTTCTTACTATCCCCCCAGCATCTCTTCCCTACCCCTTACCATCCAACCTCAACTCCCTCTCTCTCCATGACTCAACAGAATGTTTGTCTTCATTCACCCTCACATCTCTCAACTACAATCCTTACACATCCATCTTCCCTTTCCTCATGTTCCCACTACCTCTCTTCTTCCCACTCTTTCTACACACTTTATCTTCCCCTTCTCCATCTGCATCTCTGGATGCTGCCATCTGATGTCACAGCTCTCACTACCTCTCTTCTTCCCACTCTTTCTACACACTTTATCTTCCCCTTCTCCATCTGCATCTCTGGATGCTTCCCCTCCTGTCGTTCTTCTTGATACTTCACCTCCTTCCGTGTTCCATGTCCAAGATTCGTAAGGGTCCTGGAGAATCATGGAAAATTTCCACACCTGGAATATGGAATTTTGTTTGCAAATCTGGAAAATCATGGAAATTTGGTATTTGTCCTGAACCATGAAAAGTCTGACCGAGATATTTTTGTCAATTTATATTCTGAAAAAAAATCTTTAGAAAAAAATCAAAATAAACTTCGAAAGATTGAGGTAACTGAATGAAAAGTTGAAAAATTACATAGCCTAAAATGATACATGTTGATATATTATAAGCAACTAGTCATTAAGTGTCAATATAGCACAATCACAAGTCATTCCTCAAATCTTTTATATTTGACATCATCAATTATGAATTACAGTCATGGTATATATTGTAATGTGAAATATGTATCGTTAATATGAATCAAATGTTCAAGGAAAACTGAAAAGAGTCAGAAACCCTCTCTGGAAAGTCATGAAATTTTGATACCAAAATAAGTGTACGAACCATGCATGTTTAATTCCTAGGGTTCTTTTACTTTTCTGACACCCATTTCTACCCGTATTACCCATTGATCGCTTCCTAAAGGCTCTTTTTCGCTGTTCCTTCTTCCCCAGACGCATATGTGTGCGTGAGAGAGAGAGAGAGAGAGAGAGAGAGAGAGAGAGAGAGAAGAGAGAGAGAGAGAGAGAGAGAGAGAGAGAGAGAAGAGTGTGTGTGTGTGTGTGTGTGTGTGTGTGTGTGTGTGTGTGTGTGTGTGTGTGTGTGTGTGTGTGTGTGTGTGTGTGTGTGTGTGTGTGTGTGTGTGTGTGTGTGTGTGTGTGTGTGGTGTGTGTGTGCGTGCGTGCGTGCGTGCGTGCGTGCGTGCGTGTGTCTGTCCATAGCCCTTTTACTGGCCTGTTACACCTATGTTTCAATCTCTGAGGACGATATAACCCTCCTTACCAATATGACCCTCCTTGCTGCTGAAAGTTCCATCTCATTGCGAAGCTTTCGTCAAACTGTTACTCTGTTATTCGATGACCTTAGCGATCATCGGATCTCCAGGAAGCATCTGTAAATGTCGAGCAGAACCTGAATCCCTACGACCCTATTGCAATGTTTCAAATTTTGCAGACGGCTCGAGACGACTTGTGCGTGCCGAACGATATAAGCAATATTCTAAAGGCCAGATGGCGGCCTTCACACTTCTGTCCCCAGCAGCTGCCATCCTGTAGCGAGTTCCTCCTTGAGCGGGCGCAGGTGTCCGCACTGCTATCACTTCTGACACCTCTGCGGTGGAAGCAAAGACCTGCACTCGAAGACAGCCGCCGCTTAAAGGGAGACGTTTCATCAGATAGGGAGAGAGGGAAACGACAGACAGACGACGGCACGCTGGGTCTAGTTTGTCACCACTCCCGCCCTTGGCACCCGGGGAGATGGGGTCTTTTGGGGGTCCCGCTCTGACCTCCATTATAAACCCACAAGCCAAGACTCCTTTCATTGACATCTGGTGACAGTTCAGAGATAAGTTTCTTAGCTCACAGTTTCTCAACTCCATTAGTGAAAACTTCACCTCTGCTGAATAGAACTGTATAGTGCAAGGATAAATAATGAAGAAAATCGTCACTGGACAGAGGGGATTTAATTATCTGTTATGACTTGGGTATTGTCATTTTTACAGGTAATGTTGGGAATTGTAGATATAGCCTAACGACAAGAATGCAATGAGCAATTCAGAACTACAAGCTGGAGTTGAAACGTCAGGCAGCAATAATACGTAGGATGCCAGGTACAATTATTTTTCCAAATCAGATCGTGTTCTACACTACCAATCAAGTAATAAAGATCTACCAAGCTCTAGATTGAAGTCGCTAAAACTGTTGCAATGATATGTACAGATTTGGATCACCAAAAGAATACTGTCATTAGTGAAAATTTAGGGATGCTTATGGCCTAATTCAGAATACGTCCTTTTACTTTTTGACTGAGTGTCGCTTAGTCCACTAAATATCATGATTTGAACATTCATAGCACAACCTAAAACTAACGAGTGATTTCTTCACTAAGCGAGAATATGGACTGCGAGGATGAAACCAGCTTTATACATTGCCAAACAGATGAAGCATCAACATTTCTTGAATATTTAGAACAGATTCTTCACCAGCATCAGTCTTAGGAAGAAATCAGATCTATTGGTTCATCATTAACGGGGGCTAATGTATCAATGTATTCAATCAGTCTAGTAGACTGCTGTGCTGGGTTTAAACGACATAAATAAAATTAATCCCATTGTTCCCTTCAAACTCTCCAGCAAGGCGTGGAGATTCAGTGACCGACAATTCGTGCAAGCAGTTATGCCAGTGGACTGCCATAGCTTCTTTAACAACTTGCCTCACGAGAAATGATAGTTGCTGTAAAGGATAATCATAATATTTTGAAAAGGCTTACATTACTTTCGTGTACTTTTCCTTGGGTTTTCATATCACAAAAGATTACTCGTTATTTCAGAGCTCTTTCAGAGGGTCTAGGTATGATTAAAAAAAAAACTAATGTATTAAAGAATGATTACACTAGCTTCGACTACTTTCCCTTGTTTATATTTTTAGAAGGTATATATACATATACATATACATACATACATACATATATATAATATATATATATATATATATTATATATATATATATAATATATATATAATTGTATGTGTCTTTGCTTATATATACACATATATAATGAAATGAAAATCGCATCCCCAGCTGATTTCTTCGCACAAAGACTTGCAGGAGAACTCAACCAAGGCACTATCGGGACTAC